CGACTAAACCAACCAGCTCAGAGAACACTTTTAATTGCAAATCATCCACCTGAGCTACAAATCTTCTCTATTATTCCACTACTAATAAATCAAACACTACTAAAGTCATAGAGACCACCTCTTTCATCTTTTGTATTTTATTCTCATTCAAGCTGACAACAGTAGGGTTGATTATGAAGAACTCGAACAACGTCGAACCAAGTGATAGATACATTGAACTTATACACACATATATACGCATTCAAACAGAATATGCACGCGCTCAAGGTCGAACGCGCCAAATCCAACGCAACACATTTAAACAAATATCTCTAGGCAATTAGTTAGCTAACAGATATTCCAAGTATGTTCAAAAATAAAATTTACAACAAAGAAAAATGATAATCAAATCATGTGGAAAAAAAACTACTAAAGAATTTAGAAGATGTATTGATTTTGAACAGGATGGAAAATTAATTAATTCATCTGAATATTTTCGAAATTATTAATTGAAAATTGAAAACATGGAACAACTGATAATACTACTACTATCATCTCTAGTGTTTTTTTTTCTCGTTTGATTTCAGTAAACAATTTTATACAAGGAGAAATAACTAAAATCAAATCAATCGGAAGTTGCATACAACGCTTTTTCTCTTGATACTGTGAAGTGTGAGACAAAGCCGTCAATTATTTCTCTATCGGAAGTGTAATTTCAGTTCAGATTATTGTGTATGTATGTTCCAATGGTGAGTTTTCAATTTCATCTCATCGTTTCTGACATCAACCTAGGTGGGCATCTTCTCTCGATCCACCTCAGTTCACTGACGTCATGAATAAATTATTATTTTTTATCATGTTAACTGAGATAGGCTATTCGTGAAACACTAGAAGGTGGAATTATGAGTGAACTAGTAGTCAGACATATTCATTCTAATCGATTCGAGTAGTTCTCATGACTTCACTAACACAACTGTCTGCTAGACATATTTATCAGTTAAGTTAACAGCTCACTATTCAGCCTACTTATTTGAAGCATACTAAAGCTTAATTTGAATATTTGTTTTTCGTTCAACATCTGTTGTTTATGGATATTCCTTCAGGTTAGAAGTCAAATATAGGCTTTCGACAGCACATCTCTACTTCATGTTGTTCTCTGCAGTTCTCTCTAATTGGTCCCCCGATTGTTCATAGTCTCTCATCTCATCTATGTCACCCTCAGACACACTCTCAACTCGTCATTTCCCATTCGAGTTTCATCCGATGGTTGACCTGGTTCGCGACGCCACTCGACGGTCTTCTCAGAGTGTGTCCGATCCATCCCTCAGAATTCCTTGTTGCTAATTCTTTTGATCAGCCATCTGCTCTTCAGTATGGAGCCAGTGAAAGCATCTGTTAAATATTGACGATTAACAAATTCATTGGGTGTTCAACCGCACTAAACCACTGTAGCTCCTTTTATTAGTAACACTGGGTTTATTATTATAGGCAATCATCATCAAAACTACACCGGTCACTTGTTATAAGCCTACATATATATATATATATATATATATATCCATGTAAATACCAACAGGACATTAAATAAGTAGGAGTGTGTGCTAGATAAAACATTTTTTTTTGTCCAAAATTTACACTGTCAATATGATTCTTTGATTTGCAAAGTCATGTTGATGAGATGCGTTTGAAACTCCAAACGTTTAATACTCATAAATCGTAGTGCTTAAGTCTCAAACAGACTTCTCTGTATTGCGAAATCCTCACCATATGCATAGAAAATACGGAGTTATGTGTTGAAAACAAAAGAAGTCGAACCTCTACATCTACCATGGATTTAATCTTGTTTATCTCTTTAGTCGTTGTTTTGTTGGTGCTTTTTTCATCCTCTTCATATGTTTTTTATATTCGATTATAAGAAATATCCTTTAAATTTCCATCAATGCTCATCCTGTATTCGTTAAAAATTAAATTCATTGGTTGGAGGATTTCATCATGAGCTGATAATAGTTAGAGAACCACTGGAAAACTTGCAGGGAGTACTGGGCAGCCAGCTGTTTCGTCCTAGTTTGAGACCCATCAGGGTTCGAACCCAGGGCCTTCTGGCAACAAGTCGAGCTCGTAGACCATTCAGCCACCGGGACCCAATTCAGTGGCCAGACAGGCAGTTACCTGACGTTCTAGTGGGAAGCTGTGACCAGTAGGGTACAGCAGGTTGAAGGTGAGGCAGTAACTCATTGAAGAAGACATTGCGAAGTGGTCGCGCTATGTCATGAATTGGCCGAAGTTAGAATTCATGAACCATTGGATCGGGTCCCAGTGGCTAAATGGTCTACGAGCTCGTCTTGTAACCAGAAGGTCCTGCGTTCAAACTCCGGTGGGTGCGTACTGATAAAGAGGCTGAAACTAGCATGAAACAGCTGTCCAGTACTCCTTGTAGGTTTTCCAGTCGTTCTCTAACTGACGTCAGCTCATGATGAAGTTCTCCAATCAATCAAACAAAATCCCTAAAAAACCAATGCTTGAAAAATTATTTTACCTATTGCGCAACTGTTTTCCTTTTTCTGTATTATTTTATTTCTATCACCCTTGGGATTTATACTCATCTTTCATCACACCTATTCATTTTCATATCAGGTTGAAAATTATTATCTCCCCTGTAATCTCCTTTGGTTACTCTATTAAATTACATCGTATTTATAACTATGTGAACTCACATATAAAAATGTGATTGTATGGCCTTTTAGGATGAAGTCGTATAAAAGATGTTTTCGCCGAACTTCATCTTTTTTTCCTGTCTAGTGACTTAATAGGTGTTTTACAATTCAAAATTCGCCATTTGTAATTTATACAGTTCGAAGAGGTGATACCTCACCACAGTTTCCTTTGGAAACCGAAATTATTCAGGCTACAATACATGACCGGCTTGCTTGATGCTATATAAAGGTCATCACGAAGGCAACCATGAAGTCATAACGCCATATACTATTGATTAATTGAGATGAGTCGCTGGATAACACTCACATCAACCAGTAGTGTTTGCTAGCTAGCCAAATCGATGTGGTCTAAATACCGAGCGGCCATTTCACCGGTTTCGGACTGAGCGCTCATCAACGGTGGATCCGGTCTGACTCAACTGCGAGAGTCAAATAAGTTCAAACCACCTGATTTATTTAAATTATTTAATCAATCATTGTGAATCTTGGTGAAAACGTGATTCCGCTTGTTTTTGACCTCCCACTATCATCACACAGCTTAATACGGCAAAGTTCAGCAATAGCGTCCCAAGGCATGCGGACACACGAGTGACCTTCAGTCGACTAGTTATTAAAATAAGGGACTTTTGCACAAAAAAGACGTATATTTACAAGAAACGCATGAAAACACATTAAAAAGGGTATCGACCTCCAACATGACTTAAAAATACGTCCCAGTAATAATGAAGAGCCCCATTTGCTATGTTGAACTAGTTTCTGTACATGTATTCACCGAAGTGACTAGAGACGAGCTGTTTTTGTGAATCGTTTATCTCTCTTATCCTGTTTTGCAGTCTTCCCCAAAAGCCTTCGGTTGAATTACTATGGTTTCCAGTAAAAGGATCGACGGCTGTTTACCAGGAAAATGTGGATAAGAAACCAAATTATAATAAATGACATCAACTCTAAATCTATCCCTACTCGTAACCCTAACCTTAATCCTGACCATAACCCTAGACTTAACACTAACCCTAATTACAAACATTATTCTAACCGTAAACCTAACCCTAATGCTAATTATGACCCTGATCCTAACCCTAACCCCAATACCTACTTTAACCCTAATCCTAACCCTAACGAGCTATTAACACATTATCCAAACAGTACTTAAAAACGTGATCTGAGTGGAATTTGCTCCTAAGTTGGTGAATAGCGTTGATATTTCAGCTATGATAATGAAAGGTGCCGTCAGCCAACGACTAGCATGCGTTGAAGGTCACTGGAGCGTTCGCTTTCCTGGGACGCTATTGTTGAACTGCGCCCTTAATACTTATTTTTTTTGTTAAAAATAGTTACACTTGATCGAGTAAGCATAATTCTTTGGACGTTTAATATAATGCTTATCGTTCATCGTATCAATAATACTCCAAGATGGGTGGGTATATAAGTGATTGATAATATTAGTCGAACATATTCTCTCATTTGTTTGGAAAAGCCTATACAATTCAAGAGAACTTGTGTTATAACATGCCATTAGCATATGTTTTTCGTTACACATTTGAATTTCGGAAGGTGTTGTAAACATCAATCATTTACTATTTCCCTAAGGTGGTTGTATATTTGCTTATTCACTCTGCAGCGCCTGGATTCGAAATACTTACGACTCAGAGTAATCAAATTCAAGTCGAAAGACAAATAGTTTGAGCTGATACAATGAAGTCCATCAAATATTGTCAGTAGACTCAGCTACCTCTGTATTTCCATGACACAACTTTAAGTATTGATGATTAATTACAAGGAATCCATCAATAACTAAACTCTCCTGAAAGGTAAACCCTGTAGCCGTACAGACATGTACCTCCAACTAATTGCCTGGGTAAAAATCTCATGGCTTATCAGGGTTTTTCATTCATTTGCGCCCCCCCCCCCCAGTGGAATATAGAGCCTCAAGCTTGAATTATTTTTGAAATTTCAGTAGCAGTGGCGATTGTTTCACTGGACGTGATTGCCAACCTCACACCCGAACTTCCTCTTTTATCAGGCTTGCAACCGGTTAAAGGAGGTAGAGGTATGGGCCAGACTACATGCATGGTTGGTAAGCATTCTAGCCCTGCACCACCAACACATAGCTTATGAGTTAACGTATACAAATTTTAGATTAGGCGGAAACAAAAAGTGAATCAAAGCATTACTCAGACTTCCTTTCAATATTATACATCATCATTGTGAAGCTAACAGATGATATTATTTTATTTTTTGATAGAATTCTAAAAAAACATGCATAACTACTATATAATAAACTGTCATACTGGTTATTTCAGTACTTACTTGTCATTTGTATAAGAAACGGTGGTCTACTATCAAGTTTACCAGCAGCGTGTATCACTCGACAATGATAACTGCCAGTATGTTCAATCCCAAAAACTGCTATACGCAAATTTCCATTACTTCGAAATTCTGTGTTAGGTAAACGCCTGTGTGAAATGAATGAAGAAAACAAAAAAGCATGAAACAATGTAGAAATATTCAGCGTTTCTATGTTTTTAACTCAGTCTTTCTAGTATATGTATATGTAGACGTTTGTATGGTCCTACCCTTTGCTTTCTTTGCATTTATGATAGTATGATTTGTGAGAAATAGCCTATGTAAGGTGCCACTACAGACTCACGAAGGACGCCAAACATGAGGACACGTGTATTGTTGATATTAGATGGTTGGAGGTAATTGGCAGGAAACTTTGCTTGACCTACGTTTCGTGCTAGTCAGCACTCACTAGTCAACAAGGCGTATATCTGCAACCTTGAAGAAACCCTGAGAACAGACAGAGTAGATTGACAGAATTCAGTCCTGCACCAAAAAAGAAGGACTAGATACACTAAACTAGTCACTGACCAGTGTCCAGTCAAAGGAAACGTTCATCTTCAAAACCGTGTGTATTAACACCGTGTTGGCCGGTGGTCCAATGATAGAATGCTCACCAGCTGCACATATGGTGTATGAGGTTTAATTTCCGACCGACACAATTCAAAGCTTAGGCTTGAAACCCTGTGTTCGTTCCACCTGGAACTTACAGGAGTGAGAAAAAATCACTTTGTTAAAGTCCAGTCAGACAATCGTGAAGTTGTCAATCCGAGATGGAATTCCTCTGAGTGATTACCTTTCGGAATCAATAAAAACAAAATAACTCAAACTGCAGTATACAATATGCTCGATACTAAGAAGGGTATTATTATTGGAAGCAATAAACTGATGTGATTAACCAGAAATGCTTCACACCAACTCGTAGCGTTTGCTAGCCAAGTTAACCTGATTAGATCAGCGAGTAGTATGCATAAGTTGCTTCTGATGTAACACTTCCAAAGAAAACATGGGAAGTGCTGTCTGAATTTCATTACGTCTGTGTGTTAATGATGTTCACCGGTTTGTCAACACACTGGCTGGCGGTCGCACTATATATCGCAAATTGGCTGACATAAGAATTCATGGGCCATTTGATCCCTGGTGAGGTAATGGATGTGTACTTCCAATGAGTTCAAAGAAGGATGAAACAATTATCCAGTACACCCTAGTTTCCAATGGTTCTATAACTGAAGTCAATTCGTGATCTCTGTTATGATCAATCAATTCGCCGCAAATGAACACTTGACAATCGGAACCCATGCTACTTTCAGCCACTTCAAAATGGATGGTCAGGGATGGATTTTAGAAGTTTTACTTCAGTGTGATAGCGTATTTTGAAGACAAATAACCTTAGCTTGTTTGGTTTTCTCAGTCAATCAGTTGATGGTACTTTCGAATAAGCAGGTCTACATAGTCATTAAGTGGGCTACTAACCCTACCCCCCAAAAAGACAACCCCGTCGTTACTGGAACTTGAAAACACGGGAAAAAATAAATTTATTCTCAACTAATAATCAAGGACACCGTCCGGTGATAGCCTTCGGGAAAACAACAGAAGGTTGTCATAAGAGGCTGCAAATACAAGAATTCAAGTCAACAGAAAGAGAGAACAGAGATAATGAAGATATCCATCCAACAACATTGACAAACACCAATCACTATTAACGGGTGAAAAGTAAAAGGAAGTTGTCTACTTCACTACCTTATCCGCGGTACGGATTAGGACGTCACAGTCAGCCACATTGGGATCAAGAAAGCAAAGCAGGAGTTCAGTGATCCTAAATCAGTGTGCAGGTCTACAGCCTGCAGCACTTAGCACAAAGAACACGAATTTCAAGCCGTCGCTACCATACGTTTCAGACACTTGGAGTGCACATTACCAAATCATTTCCAACAGCCTGCTGATGACTTTTATCATCGCCGACAACTATTCAGCAGGAAGTCTAGGTGGATTGGAAATACTCTGGCTAAATATTCAAGTTACGTCATACACCAACACAGGCCCTTGAGTGGAACCCAAAAGAGAAGCAACGAGTTGGGTGTGGTTGCCAGGGTTACATGGAAGAGATGGTGTGAAGTAATGGAAGCAGGTAAGAGTGACAGAAGAGGGAAGACGGTGAAGTGGAGATATGCTACAGAAGCCCTATGTTCCACAAGGAGGAAATAAGCAACTAATACTGATCATAGCCTGTTATGGAATCTAATTGTCACTTTCATTATTACTCATTGTACTGAAATAACACCTAATTGTATGACGGATGATTCAATCATATTTAAAAAATGTCGGGACATTTGAAAACCCAATAGAAAACAACAGCTACTTTCCTACTTTCTATGCTATGATGAGTCAGAATATTCAACAAATATGCGTTTTTCACAACATGTACGCACACACACACAAATCCCATTTCAACAAACTTTTAAAACTCTCCCTTATCCCCACCTTTCCATCCGAATGATCAAACAACAGGACAGATAGACGGATGGGTGGATGTATGGTGGTGGACAAAACGATTAAAACCCTTTTGTTTTTTACAAAAAAATGTAGAAGTTAACCGCAATAAATCAAGTTCACTAAGTGAATGAGTTCCCCTGTTGTTGTTTTTTGTAGAAAGGAGAGACAGGTGTATTAGAAGAAGAAGAAGAAGGAGCAGGAGTAGTAACAGGGGTGGGTGTGTAGACACAGGAAACGCATAAAACAGAAGAAAGGAAAGTCAGTTGGTTAGTAGACATAAACGGACACTTGTTATGCTCATAGCGGAGACGATGATGATGATGACGATAGTGACGATCGTGGATTAAAACAAGACGAGAAAAGCTATAGGGTTGGTCATGCTTCCATGCGTGTGTGTGTGTACGCATATAAATGACACAGGACAGATATATAACAATAATAATGATAATAATAATAGGAAGTTGTCTGTCTACTTTGTTAGTTTTCTAAAGAATGATTATTTGATAAATTCACGCAAAGCCGCCGACTCTACATTATATATAAATAGAAGAAAAGGTTGGTCGCACTGACATTACATTTTTGAGTAGCACCGTTATGACACAGTAATAATAGTAATAATAATAATGATAATCATAAGAGTGAGCATGAGAACAGTTAATGGATGAATGACTGAGGAAGTGAGTAGATGAATGAATGACTGTGACAGCAGCGTAGTGTAGCAGTAGACAGATAAACTTTGGAATAGAAAAATAACAGAAACAATAAAAAAATGGAGAAATAGAACAAAGGGAGGAGATAAACACACAAAGGATAATAATAATAATAGTAATAATGATCAATAAGATTTAGAAGGACAATATATCATAAAATACCGAAAATTATAACTTTAAAATAGGACAAAATACTCCTTTGTTTGTTGGTTTGTTTGTTCGCTTGCCTGCCTGCTTGCCTGTCGTCCATATATGTTCCCTCATATACTGAAGGAGAAACACTTTTAGATAACAGATAATAATTTATTACAATGTACCACACAGATTAGATAATTATTGTGTGATTAACCTCTTAAAACTAGAAACATAAAATAAAAGAGACAGCCAGCCAGCCAGCTAGTCAGCCAGATAGTCAGTCAGTCCGCCAAACAACCAACCAACCAGATACCTGATTCCTATAGAACGGTTTATAGATAACAAACAGTCAAACAACTATTAAGAATCAATTAATGAGATCAATATACATTTAGGATAACTTCTTCTTAGCTTTCTTATTTGAACCGTGACTTTTCTGTCTCTGTCTATCTCTCTCTCTCTCTCTCCAACTCTTTCCGTTTTAGCCAACTTGATTTATGCCTTTATTGTTTGAAAAGACTGGTGGGATTCTTGTTATTAGACAAATTGTTAGTTAAGTGATTATTTCTCCTTGAAGCGGTAGGGTTCAGGGTTAGAGTCCCAGTCAGGATACATCTAGCTGACGAGTTCCAAATAGGAGGCGAAATAGGTAATCTGCATTCCACTGCTAGTCACAATCATGTCACCTGACCTCCCGTGACGGTTATTAGATAGCAGATTTATTACATTAACTGAATGCTATTTCTTATAAACCGTTATAATAATAATAGCTTTATTCCAAACAGTACTTTTGGTACAAATATGCAATTTTCAGCATGTAACACAATAGTGCATCTAATTTCCTTATTAAAGGGGCAATAATTAAAATAGGGCATTTACATCAATAATAATTTACACCAGTAATATTGTCCAATAAGAAATGAATTTAAAATTAAATCAAGTGGAAATACTAACGACAGTGTAACAATAAGAACAAGAAATAAGTGCCATTCACTCAGCAGTTCCTCAGTAAGTTGGTATTTTCCTGCCTTACACTTTTCTCATCACATAAAATGTGTGCTAAATAAGGTATTGCAGGGTTTTGTACTTAGTTGTCCGAGCATACAGTCTTCTATAGTTGCTTCTAGATCTACTCGATGAGAGGCGAGGAGAGAGGTGTCTATGAAGAGGGTGTTCAGAGTCTGACAGGATAATATTCGCTAATTTCTTGCAGGAATCCAAGTGTCTATGTACAACAGTATTAACGAGTTGGTTTAGCAACATCCCAATCGCCCTACTGATGGCTTTTAGTGCCCTTTGCAATATGAGAAAGTTTTTCCTAAATGGCCCGGTAAAGATTAAGTGGGAACAGTAAAGAAGTGGAAGCAAAACACAAGAATTAACAAACGGTAACAGTAAAGACGGAATGATACCAGATAGTCTTAACTTCCTCACACAGAATATCAAACGAAATATCTTTATTGAAAATAACAATGATGTGGGGAGACCAAGAAAGGTGATCGGAGGGAATATACAGTCCAAGGTATTCAAAATTCGATTTTGTTTCATATATATGACAGAGGAACTGTGGGAATTAACCAGTTTACGCAAGTTGCGCTTGCATCTGAAAGTGGAATTAACCACCTGACATTTGGAGGGATTAAGCTTACGACCATTTGACTAGGACCACTGACTAATTCCTGATAAAAATTTATTTATTCTGGAATAGTCTGATTGAGAAGTAACAGGCATAGAAACAGTCAGATCATCGACATACCTAACAAAATTAGCTTCGTCAGAATGGGGCACGTAAGTCATGTAAGAAGAAAGAAAACAGAAAAGGAGAAAGAACAGCTCGTTGAGGAACACTAGCTAGAGAGAAATAGGAATGCAGCCACTTATTAATCTAGCACTCTTCTTGTGCCCCAACAAGATTGTTTAACAAAAGCGGCCAAGGTACAGAGTCAAAGGCAGATGTGTAATCTAGGAAGGCACACTGAACATATTTCCCACCTCTTTATAAATTAGAGACAATATAAGATGACAGTAGCAACTAGAGTATAGAGAAAGAGATAGATGTTAGCGTGAATTCAGGCATTAAGCAGTGTTATATGCGCTCATACCTTAACAGGTTATAAACTGAAAGGTTCCTTCTGGATGTCCATTTAGGGTTAACTCTACCGACATTTTTGATTCGGTCGCATGACTTTTTTTTGTGTCTAATTTGAATATTCGTTTGAAAACACCACATGATTAAAACGTACAGCTTACAGAAGACAACATGACCAAAGTAATCTTAATTTACTTACAAATACTTTATCAATGATAGCTATCAGAATATTTTAGGTGATGAACACCCTTCAATCGATTGGAACCCGAATCTGAAGTGATGAGTTGGATGCGTGTTTAAAGGTGACACGGAAGAGATAGTGTGAACTGGAGGAGATTAAGGAAAAGCGTACAGTCAAATCGTGGAGTCAGCCGAAAAAGACTGCAGAGAACACTGGGACGGGATGAAGATGTGCTACCGAGGCCCTCCTTATGTTCTACTCAAAACCCAAAGGAACCATAATGACAAAAGAGGGAAGCTATTCCACAAACCAATATATATTCTATTTAATGCTTTAATTCACGAACCAGTTGAAATGGCATTAATTAATCTCAGTTTCTATAATTTTGATTTATGGCGAATAGTCAATTATATACAATTATGAGGAAATTCAGATCACGTGCATTTAATGGTTATGTCAGGTGGGAACATTTCTAAAAATTATAATCATTAATATAAATTCAAATCTCCTGCAGAAAACAACAACTGCTATATTGATAAATAAAGATGAATCATGTTTTGATTTCGGGAATTTGAATGGTTACAGATTCGATCACTAGCTGACATCTGTTAAAGAACCATTGGAAAACTACCAAGGAGTACTGGACACCTTTTTCTTGTTAGTTCGGGACTCTTCATCAGAACCACCCACCCACCCGGGTTTAAACCTAGTATCTTCCGGTTGGAAGGCGAGCAACTTCGTAGACCAATTATCCTTGAATTCTAACTTCTACCAATTCACGATATTTTGGGAAACCTCCACCCAATGTCACAGGCTAGTGATTGTCCTCTTACCTGACTTAGTGGACTCTGCTAGTTAAGAATTTGCTGAATTTGGAATTCATGCACTGGTCATTGGAGCAGTTCCCAGTGGGTAAATGGTCTACGAGCTCGCCTTGTAACCTGAAGGTCCTGGATTCTAACTCTGGTGCGATAGGTGAGTACTGATGAGTAGTCTGCAACTGGGACAAAATAGCTGTACAGTACTCCATTGGTTTCCTATAGTTCTCTAAATGATGTCGGTTCGTGGTCAGTCTTATAAATAAAGATTGGAAAAACAGTGATGAAATACCCATTCATACTACTTACAAGCCTTTTGTTAGTAGACTGACTATAAATTCACTTCATTAACTTTCCTATTTTTTCTTTTACAGAATATCCCACTTATATGACATCATTTGTTCTGATGAGAGAGTATATACTGATATAGAGGTAAAGGGAGAGGAACAATGAGTACTTATTGAATGCGCCTTTGATTCATTATCATATAAGACCGAAATGCTGGGTCTACGTTGACATGTTAGCTTCCAGTACGGATGCTTCGACAATGCCTGAGGCTTAACTTGAAGTTATATTGCTGATGGCAGCTAGAGGTGAAATCCAAGATACGTATTTTGTCCACTACTAGCCGCCATCAGCTATGTAGACTCATGTTAACCCTCAGATAGTCGAAGCGTCCATACCACGAGCCAAGCTAAGGAGAGTTAGTCACAGTAAGAGTAAAAGAAAATGGAACACTGGCACACCTTCATTCTATGAAATCATGAAAATTATGCTACTCAACATTAAAAGAATGTATTTAACTCAAATGTATAAAAATGAAACTTACGCGTTACCATTGTGAAACCATTTAATATTTGCTGGACTAAGAGGTGGATTTGCTCTAGCATTACATGTGAATTCCACCTCTTCACCAAGACGAATATCTTCATAACGTGATGGTTTAACTAATGACACATGAACATCTGGATCCATCCCTTGAGAGAGAAAAATATGAGTAAATAAACATTTCAAATGAAGTGAGAATCATAAAAGTAATGGAAAGTTTAAGATCACATGACAGTACCGAAGTATCATCATAGGTAGACATGCAAATATGCATGCATGGCGGTTTAAGCTCAGATGTACACTGATCAATATCAGATGATCTCAGTTGAATTATTTATATATGGAATTAAATTTTTCAATCGTATCTACACTCAGAAAGCTTTAGTGTTTCCTTTTTAAATACAACGTACACAAAGAATAATTCATTGAGTGACAGTAAGCAGAGAGTATTTTCTTTTCTATGTGATATTAAGTGACTATTTTTAAAATCATTTAATTAAGACAATAGGTGTGACAATCGATTATCAGTTGTCAGGATACCGTTGATTAAGAATTCTGAATTTGTTGATAATCATTAGCAAAATTTACTAACATATAGTATTACTACTCCCTTGCGTTCCGATTGGAACACTGGACTTCGCTTCAACGGAACATCTCCACTTCGTCGTATTCCCTGCGGTCTTCTTCAGCTGGCCCTAGGAGGGCTCATAGTCTCTCATCTCCTCCAATTAACTCGATCTCCTCAATGCCAACCTTGGATTCTCGCCCAACTCATCGTCTCCCATTCGAGTCCCACTTGAATGATGGCCTGGTGCGCGATGTCAACCAACGGTCTCCTCAGCATTTGTCCAATCCATCTCAATTTTCTTCGCCACATTTGTTGAACAACAGGTTCCTGATTGGTTTGTTCCCAAACTTTCTTGTTAATAATTGTTTCTGGCTATCTAGTCTTTGGTAAACAATGAAGGCAGATGTTGAATAAGTCTGTCTACTAATTAGTGTATCAATAGGAAATAAGCGATTATTTTTTATGGCTAATTACAGTTGGAAATGTTGGGCTGTGGTTTATTGATTTAGGCACTCGATATCTACCCAGTGAGACGCTGGTTTGAACTTCACTCTACACCTGCTGAGCTGTGATCAGCCACGTACTATCACTAGCCGTAACAAAACAGGTTTGATCCTGTGCCTGTGGCTGTTTAGTAACATTTCATTCTTTTGTCTACTTCATATCATAGTTACAAACAGTTATCACAGAAGTGTTTCATTCTGACTTCCTGTTCATCTAAAGTGAACAGTATTCATAATAAGTCAATGGCATTACCTGTGGGGACTATCTGATTACTTTCCTGCAAGTATACCACACTGAAGTGTTACAAGGCTTTTGGGAATAAATACCTTTTCATATAAGAACAATATAGAGGATCATAGTGCTTTAGGCTCCTTAGAGTAGACAATCAAACTAATGAGCCTGTAAAAGCGGGTCAGGTACTGATAACCCTAAAGGTGCCTACATTTCTTTCCTCTTCCAGTCAGTCTAACTTCTTCAGTGAATTGTTATTAACATTCCTTTGGGTTCCAATTGGGGCATAAGACCTCAACAGCACATCTGTATTTCACCCTGTTCTGTGCTGTCCTCAGATACCCAACTCGTCGTTTTCCACCCACATTCCACTTGAGGATCTGACTAATGTGTGGAGTCACTCAACTATCTTCTCAGTCTGTGTCCAATCAATCTCCATTTCTTTCTGCATATTTGTTGAACGACAGATTGCTGCCACAATTCCTTGATACTAAACCGTTTAAGCTAATCATTTGATTCCCAATGTCGAGTGAAGGCAACCGTTAATAAAAGTTTGTAAGCTGTCGGAAATACTCATGGTAAAGTGTACTTCAAATGTCTGAACCAAATAGAAGCAGTAATATGATACTAATGTTTGAGATCCAGATTTTGTTCCTTACTCTGAGTTCAGCGAAATTCCCTACTGATTTCAGATTAATAAAGGTCTGTCTTGTCTTGACATCTTCGTCCATGCCGCCTGCCCTTATTTGAAACGACGCTGCCTAGATAGATGAAAGAAGTAACTTCCTTCAAATTTCTTCAGTTGAGAACGATTGCTGCTTTTTGTTGTTGACCGAATGTCTTCATCCCCTTGCCTTTTTTATGTTCACTTGAAGTCCTAGCTAAGCTGCTTACCCCTACTGCAAGTTGGTTGGTTTTCGCCTCCAGATCTTCAAGTTTGTGTGACATTAGACACAAATCATCCACGAAGTCCAGATCTTCTAGTGACCTGTCGTCTGCTCAACGTATGTCCGTCTTATCGCTCGTCCCCCCCTCTCATGGTCTGTTGAATGATTGATTCAGTCCCTCAGATTCAGGAATATCATATAAATGATAGTAGGCAGCCATCTTTTACTTCCGTCTTTACTCCAATGAGATTTCTGTTGGGAATCATTTGGCATCTGGTATCATCTTATAGCTGTTGACTCAAGTTTATGAGTGTGAAGATAGAGTTAAGTTTTTACTCCATTATGGATAAAGTTTTATGGATAATATTCAAACCTACAAACTTACACAGGTAGGACCCAATTAAACAGAAAATATAATTTACAAAATACTTTGCAATGACTGTGAGTTAGGTCAACCACATAGGTCAAACTAGTAGATCAGGAGCAGTGAGATTATCAGAACATAAGAATTTAGCTAAGGTTACAATGATTGATCCCACCCGCGAAGATAAGTAATTTAGGAAAAAGCTCAGCTATAGCACTGCATGCATTAACACACAACTACACAATAAGGTGGGACAGAGTCAAAATTCTAAGAAGTAATATAGGTAGATAGAGATAGAGAGAGATTGATTACTGAATCCTGGTTCATTGAGTCTCCACCCAACACATGCAACAGAAATGAGTCAACTCAGATCCCAGAGATATGGGAGATATTACCAGTCAAATCTGAGGATAATAAATAATATTAAAATTTATTCAATTCACATTATGATATTCTAGCAGGTTACTTAGTTTTATTGTAAAAAAACATCTTATTTCCCATCTTGTTGTATTTTATTGATAACACTCATATTGTAACGACAGAAGGCAAGAGTCAGGCAACAGATCATTTATTAAGGAAATCAAAGCATATTTATGTATTTTCATGTACATTACTATGGATATTTAAGCAAACAAACACAGTCTTCCGATTGGTTGTTTCTCACGTAAAGTTAATCTTTCATCTATTTGTGACTGTTTCTTAAATGTCAAATCCTCTATATGTTAACTGCATCCACCTACGCAAAGTCTGCTGTGGTCGGTTTTGAATCAATCTTTGTTCACATTTTCTCACGACAAATCTTGGGAACGTAAATATTGACGTAAATTACTGTCTACCAATTTGGCTAGTAGACAGCTCTCACCACAATATTATTTTCGAATGTACTTTATCTTATATTGATTTTATTCAAATGTCTAATCAAGAAAGTTGTGTGAGTACCTTGATATGATTATAGGCAATAAATTGTGCTTGAAAAATGGTCATCAGTAAATATTACCGCATAACACTGTGTGGTTTTATCAATATAAAATTTTACCCATAATGGAGCTATACTCTACCCCAATGGCCAAGTTTTATCCTTATTTCAAGAGTTAAGTTTTCTTTGTTGAAAAGAAAAGCCAGTATCACGTCTAGCCCCCCTCCCCCAACCCCTTGAAACCAATTAGTCAGTTAAAGGTAATCTCACTGTGCGCCGGTGGCACAGTGGTTAGGATGCTCGCCGACCATGCACATAGTCCGAGGTTCGATCCCCTGCCGACGCACACCTGATATCAATAGTCGGCCTGCAAAATTTGGGCTACCGATATCACATGCTGAAAATTCCATACTTGTACCAAAAATACTGTGTGGTTTCAAGCTATAACCAAAATAAAAAATAGAGTAGTATCCTATTGAAGCTTAAAAAACAAGGAAAATTTGATTACTTTCATATTAATTCTCATGCATATTACATTTAAAACTTACAATAAATGTTCACTTTAGCTTCTCTACTTGCTGTAGTGAATGTTGATGAACGATTCAACGCTTGGCATTGATATGTACCAGGATCAAGTTCTCGATCAGCGTGTAAAATTTGTAAATTACTATCTACTTCAAGGTAACGTCTACCACCTTCTTTCTCTAACTGTAGACGTGTTCCATTATGTAACCATGAATAGTAAATATCTTTTGATGGTGTAACAGCACACCTTAATCTCAATGGTTGTCCTTCTTCAACATCTTGATCATTTGGACTTACTGTGAAGTAGAAACTATCACTGGATGCGCCTACAAATGGTAAATAAGAAAAATTCAGTATTATTACTCATAGTATAAAACAGATAAATAAACGAAAGTTGAAAAATAAAAGGAAATTAAGATGATTCCCTCAGAATTACTAACAGACTTCATGGTGCTAACAGGATTCAAAGATAAGAGATTGTTCAAACATTTTATTTTAAATTATAGTGAATACATACATGCTGAAGTACACTTAGTTAAGTTGTGTAGTGGTCATCACGTCTACCTAAAACACAGAAGCTCCCCAGTTCTAGCCTTGACCCAACGGCTGAATGATCAGTCAGTTAGACTCATAACCTGAGTGCACTGGGTTTGATCTCTGGTAGGGCCGTGGATGCACACAGATGGAAAGTCTCAAATTGGAACGAAATAGCTGTCCAGTACTCTCTAGTTTTCGGTGCGTCGATGGTTCACAGTAGTAGAAGGCTTGCCAACCACGTGCATGGTTTGGGTTCGATTCCTGGTAGACAAGTTCCTAAACTTTGCTTAGCATGTAGGTAATTAACACGGTAAAGAAGGAAGAAGCTGGACATGAAGCTAACCGCCCTACTCTGTAAAAGAACAATACCGCTAATGAAAGTTCAGAGGTCAAGCTTGAAGTCACATGCTCTACTCAGAACGCAAAGGAGTCAAAAAACTGTTACTTAAAAATTTCTATTGAGTCAGATAAAAGAGAAAGCGTTCAACGAAGAGTTACACTTTTCGGCGATATCATTCTCTAGCTGTACAATCGCTTTTATACATAGTAAATTGCCTCAGCAACAAAAGGAATATTTCCAAAGATTTGTCATAAGAATTGTAAATTTTAGATAATAAATTTCGTTAGTTGATTAGAAAATAAAATAGGGTTAAATAAGCAAGTTGAGTGACGTAATCTAATTGACGGGATTGAGTACAGCTCAGCTAAAATGAAAACTGAACAAAAGTCAAGTCAACAACATTGGTAATAAGGCGTAGAGATTTAGTAAAGGGTGGGGAAAGAAAATATTACAATTACAATTAAGAAACAAACAAGCAGGAATAAGACGAAACAAAAAATTACGTATTTGGTATTTAGAATAGGTCAGGTCCATTATAGATTTAATGACTGAACAAACTTCTTTTTTATGCAGAGTTTAGGTTTGAAAAATTTTGATTCGTACTCTTTTAGTAAGATTCTCACGTATTCTGTAGATGACTTTGAAGTTACTTTGTGGGTTTTCTTGGTGTCCTGATGCGATCAGATGTTCCAGAACGGAGCTTCAGGAGGGGGCTACCTTCCCCTGTATAAAACATGAGGGTAAGTGTTCGATGATACGTCTGGATAGCAAACGCTGAATACGGCTGACATACCTAGTTACCCTATAGATCATCTTTTGTCCTCTGTAAGTGTGAAGCAAAAGATTAAAAATTCAATGACTACTTATGTTTTGTATCTCTCAGTTAGGGATCAATAACAGTCGTATAGAACATCAAAGAACTCATTTAGCATCTTACAGGAGGTAAACATAACAGAAAATCATACACATATTTTCAGAATCCCTGCTGACTGACTGCAGTAAATGTTCTGCACAAAGTGTCACATTCTTCAAACAAGTCACAATTGGCAGAGATATTCAAAAGGCAATAAGAAGCAGTTCCTTGACAAATATAACAACCAGACGAAAATGAAGTCGGTATGAATATCATGCTTACAACAGAAACTCATAAACAGAATAGGAATAACAGTTTGCAAAAAGTTAGATAATGAAGAACACTGACTGTGTAGTCAGCATCTTAAACTTCAGTCCAAGACACCTCTATACAAATATTGAGTTTATTCCTGCTTTACTGCGGATCATTGCTCTTTGCGATGAGATACTCACTTTGGCTGTAATAATACCACATCAATAACAAGATACGATAAGATATTAAAAATGAAGAGGAAAATACAGATAACAGGAGAATAATCTATTTTGTAAATTTCATTGGACATTGAACAGGGAAGTAAAAATCGGAATAATTAGGCAATATGGCTGCTTTTAGTCATTCCACTTTCAGTGAACCAGTAAAAAATTAAAAACTTGAGACTTGATACTAAAGGTCACTGAAATATTAGAACAACGTTTGTTTCCCGCCTTGTCAGACCAGTACGTCAGTGGTTCAGCCATAGAACACTCGCCAACCACACAGATATTCCATTGTTTGATTCAGAGCCAACCAACTCTTTACCCTCGCTTAGACAGTTGCAGGACTGCTAAACAGAGAGGGTGGAGAATGAGGCTAGCAAACCCGGCAAGAAGCCCTACGTCTCATTCGGAATGCAACGAAATACCACAAAGACATAACCTACGAGGCTAGGTAAATTATGTTTTTTTAAATCAACAATTCTCTATAATTCATGCAAATTATTACTAATCAACAGTAGAAATATCTGGTTGGCGTGAGTAATGTTCAACTACTCACATCTATCAATCAGTAGTATATAGCAAGATCTTAGTCATATGGACAGGATTTTGGTAAAAAGTACTTACACAGAGAGAGCATTACTCAATCATCTTTGGAACTAGTCAAGTCTCACTCAAGTTACACAACTTACAATGAAATTTCCAACAGTCTGAATATATCTTCAACAACGTGACAAATCTTGTGAATGACTTTATCAACTGTCTGAAATAAGATAACCTTCTTGCCAAAACTAAGCAAAAAAACTACTACGGCGACTAAGATAGATCCTTATATTATTATTATTCTCTTGGGTTCCGAGTCGAACATAGGGCTTCAACACACATCTCCAATTATTCTAATCTCCGCAGTCCTCTTCAGACTGTCATGATCTCCTCCATATCAATCTTGGACACACGTTCAACTTATCATTTCCCATTCGGGTTTCACTCGTGAGTTGGCATAGCACGCGATGTCACTCAACGGTCTCCTCAGAGTGTCTCAAATCCATCTCCATTTCCTTCGATATACTGGCTTGACAACAGTTTCTTGAGATTGGTTCATTTCCAGAGCTCCTGGTTGCTAATCCTTTCCAGTCGGTCATCTGGTATTCAACATCGAACGAAGAATGCAGCAGCTGATTAAATTCTGAAGCCGTCTGTTCAAAATGCTTTTCATCACGTGCCCACCAAGCTTCTGAAACATATAGAAGAACTGACTGACATAACATTGGTATTGAGAATCCGAGTTACATTCTTTAGGCTGAGGAGTACAGAAGATTTCCAAACTGATTTTTTTTAGAGTGATAAGGGTTTATCTTGCCTTTCGCATCCTAGCTAGTTTTGACATCTTCACCCGTGCCGCTTACCTGTAGTTAAAAAGATGCTGTCTAGATAAGAAAAAGAAAAATGAAACGCTTCAAATTTCTGAGTTGACAATCTTCAATAACAGGATGTCTACACGGAAATTCCAGTCATATTCAAAGACTTTTCTTCTTATTCCCTTCCCTATCAGACCGGCAAAACAGTTGTTGTTGTTATTGTTGTTATTATCATTATCATTATTATTATCTTGCCATGTGACTTAAAATCTTTCTTTTTCTTATTGTATAAAGTTAATTTTGAATTGATCAATCAATAAACAGGGAATACATATACAACACATACATGATTGTTCATTCATATAAAGTAAGTAAGTAAGCATTACCGTCAACAAGATACGATCGATATACAGACAAACAAATAGATAGGCAGACAGACATAAATCAAATAAATAAAGTCGATTAGGCTGTTTCTTTATCTTTTACTTATTCTCTTAAGAAAAGAAAAGATATACAAAGAGAATGAATGTCACACACATGTATATTTATTTATATTGTATATATTAACATCTTAATATATTTATTTTCGTTTTCTTTTTTTGTTTTTGGTAAAAATAAACGGCATATCTGACGTCGTACATTAAGTAAGTGAGTAAGTCACTAAGTAGATACATGCATAAAGGTCGGATAACGTCTATCTGCTAAATTGATCTATCACGTGACCATTTCATTAATCATATAAAAATACGCAGTAAACACACAGGTGTCTTTATGCACAACTGGTATGTACACTGTGTGAATATATATATAATGCTCTAGTAGTCCCGTTTAACATTCAGACAATAAACAAAGACAACCACCACCACCACACTCTTCGTATTCAGTTTCCTTTGTGATGTCATCATTATGAATGACATCGCATGTTAAGCCGTCACTCGAGTCGAACCCGAATGGGAAATGACGAGTTAGGTTTGTGTTTGAGGCTGACATGGATGAGATCATGCGGCGAGGAGGAGACGAGAAAGACTACGGACGATCGAGGGGCCAGCTTAAGAGGACCACAGGGAACAGGACAATATGGAGACGCTGCACTCAAAATCCAAGGTAACAATAATAGTAATAATAACTATAGTGGATCAAATTATGTCAACTCGAATTCATAAGTATGTGTATAATATCAGTGGTTTTTCATGAATTCGGTGAGGGGGATAAAAATCGAACTTCTTCAAACCACAGAAGCAATGGTAATTCACATGTTAAAACCCGAACTCTGCATAAAAAAGAAGTTTGTTCAGTCATTAAATCTACAATAGACCCGACGTATCTTAACACCAAATATGTAATTTTTTGTTTCGTCTTTTTCTTGCTTGTTTGTTTCGTAACTGTCTATTTTTTTCTTCCCCTACCCCTTATTAAAGCTCTACCTCTTATCATCCCTGTTGGTGACTTTTGTTCATTTTTAATTTAAGCTGAACTGTACTCAACCTCGTCAATTAGATTACGTCACTCAATCTGTTTATTTAATCAGTAAAACACCATTAAAACAACCAAACATAACATCTAATATGGCTTACAACATTCCTTTGCTGTAGACTGATACGTTAACATCAATGATTCACGAGTCACACAAAGGCACACACACACGTACGTGGTCCTGGTTCGATTCCCAACCAACTCACTTCGCTTAACCTCACCCACCAATTTTACCAGTTTGTGATAAGCTTGCAAAAGAGGGAAGGTTGGCCGTGAAGTTAGGAAACTCTAT